TAGGCCATAAATTCTATGTCACCCAGCTGTTCTGAGTGGAATTCTATAAATGTCTTGGCTGCCATATGCATGGATGAGACATACTGTATCTCCTATTGATAATTACAAAATCATAACTCTTTGGACAAAATCCTTTTGCATAGCTACACAAGTGATATAACCTTTGGAGGCCAATTCCCCCAAGTTAAGAAATCACCATGGACTCTATCAGTTTCATGCCGAATCATACAATTATGGTGTCTATGCCAAGGAGGAACTTGGAATGGTTGTAGATCACAAGCTAAATATATGTCAACAGTGCAATGTGGCTGTAAAAAAGGCATTATATGCCAACAGTGCAATGTGGCTGTAAAAAAAGGCAACTGCTATTTGAAGATGCATTAACAGAAGCATAGTCTCCAAATCCTATGAGATAGTAGTCTCTCCCTATTTGAGACTGGTTAGGCCTCATCAGTTTTGGACACTGCACTTTAAGAAGGATGCCAACAAAATAGAACAAATCCAGAGGAGGGCAACGATGATCAGGGCACTGGAAACAAAATCCTATGAGGAAAGACTGAAAGAACTAGGCATGTTTAGCCTTGAGAACAGAAGACTGGGAGATATATGATAGCACACATAATAATGGGCTCAAGCTGCAGGAAGCCAAATTTAGGCTGAATATCAGGAAAAACTTCTTAACTGTTAGAGCAATACAACAATGGTGCCAATTATCTCAGGAGGTGGGGAGTGCTCCAACGCTGGAGGCATTCAAGAGAAAATTGGACAACTATCCAACTGTGCCCTCTTTCTCTTGCCTAATATGCCTCTTCCTTGCTGATAGAGTGATGTTCTCACATTGTATATAAGCCAATAGTATATAATAACCTACATCTCCAGATGCTTTGGACCACAATTCCATCATCCCCTGACCACTAGCCATGTTGGATGAAGCTGATGAGATCTGTCATCCAAAGCATATCGAGGTGCTACAGTGTCTACCGCCAGTACATAGCACATCGACTATTAGAGAAGGTTTTGAAGAGCAGTGCCAAGCACCCTAAATGTCCGAGCGAAACCCGTCTACCGCCAAGCACCCTAAATGTCCGAGCGAAACCAGGAATATTTTGAAACAAATGGTTTTTACTAGGAAACAATGAAATATATAACAAACATAACCACAAAGAATATATTTACTGAGCAAAGTAATTTTTCCAAGCTCTGAATAAATCAGGTAGAAAGCTAGCAAATCAAGAGCTGAAGCTGTCTTCTTTCTGACACACTGTCTCAATGTATGGAATTTTTCCTCACCAATCCTGGCTCCTTCACTTGCATCCTGAGGTGTTAAAATTCCCAAAGGGCTTAATCATACAATACTTTCAAATGTGTAGTTTAGATTTCAGTTTCAAAGAACATGGAAATGTTCATTCTTTATCTTCATCCTTTTGGGCATTTATATTCAAACATATCCTCAGCTCTCTGTCAGAAGGGGTCCCTGCTCTATTTTTAATTTGCTGCTGTGATTATATGTAATTCCTGCTAAATTCTCTTCATTTCTGCCATGTAATTAGGCAGAGGAGCAGCCTTTATTCTGCATTTGAAAAGCAATTAATCATGCTTTTTGGCTTACTCTTTTATTCTTTGTTTTTTGTTTTAAAAGAGTTTACAGCCTTGTTTTTGGCTTTTGTCCTTAAAGCAAAATAACGCATACAGTGTGTATCACCTGCAGCTCTGCTGGCTGTGTAGGAAGGGGGGGGGGAATCAATTTTTCCTAATTTCATTAGTAAGGCTTGGGATAGGGCCCCTCAGAGTTAAAGGGTGAGGCTTCTGTGGTAAAATATTTGCTCGAGACAGGATACGAAACCTCAGCCTCACCAAACACTGGGGATTATAAGTCCCACAGTCCCTTATCACTGGTCATGGTCAGAAGAGCTGTTGGGGATGTAAGCGAAAGAAGGGCAATATATTCTACCTTTCAGGTACAAGACAAATTGTACATACTATCTCTGCTCTCCTTCTGGTTGAGAAAGGCTCAAAAATAATACACGCAGGCTCTGAACAATTGACCAACTGCTAAAAACAGGATGTCTTACTATGTAGAGACTACAATATATTATTTCTTAGTGGTGTTTTAAAATTGTGATTTAAATTGGGCTTCTCATGTACTGTAATTCTCAACTGCTGATTTGTTCAATGTCTTAGTGGTATTATTTTACTATTGTGAACCACTTGGAGTCTACTTCTGAGAGAAAGGTGGCCTCTAAAGCCAATAAATAAATAAATAAATAAATATACTTGTAAGATTATTTTGACCTTAGGATCTAAAAATGTTCCTAGAGAGAATACATGTTGAAATGCCAAAGTGCATTGAAGTATCATTTGGCCTTTGCCCCTCAGACCTACTCTGTGGCTGAATAAGGGCACCCAGATTTGTGTCCAACCTACCTTGTGCGATTCTGGAAACACTCCAACCTAATTCTTGCCTGGTCCATGCCCAGATATGTGCTTTCCTAGTTCCCCAGGTAAATGTCATTCCTGTCAAGAGGGAAAGGCAAATGGCAAGGTCAGGTCATAGACCGCGTAGTGCACACAGAAGAGAAGAGCTTCTGATGAGGCAGCAGATGTCTGTAGATTTCGGTCCGTTGTTTCATTTTGATCCCTCTCACCCTTTTTTTCCCAACTCACAGATACAAGGAGACGCTGCATTTATTTCTTTAAAATGAACTCTAGTTTGCTTTTTAATAATAGATTGCATCTTGAATCTAGAACTTGATCTAGTTTGCTCTTTAATAGACTACATCCAGAAACAGGAAGCTTCCTTTATTTTATTTATTTATTCATTTTATTTTATTTATATCCCGCCTATCTGGTCGGTTAAGACCACGCATCTTCCTCTCAAGTAACTGTAGACTATGGTGAGGCGCCTCCAGTGCATTGGTTGGTAAACTACTACTTTCATCATACTGGAAAAGGCTGATAGTAATCAGAATTCAATAACATCTGGAGGCTCCTCAGATCTTCTATGAGCTCCAGAGTAGGGGTGGGTAAAATGATGCCTTCCAGATGTTGGACTTCAGCTGGCATCAGTCCTAGCCAGTATAAACATGGAGGAGGAGGCTGGGAATTTTTATCCAGCAGTATCCGTAGGGCTGCACTCTGTATTCTCTTGCTGACATACCTTTTTCGCTCCATAAGACGCACCTTTCCATAAGACGCACCAATTTTTAGGAGAAGAAAACAGGAAAATATAATCTGTTTTCTTCGCTCCATAAGACGCACAGACTTTCCACCCCCCTGTTTTGTGGCAAAAAAGTGCGTCTTATGGTGCGAAAAATACAGTATGTCACACAGTCTTCTCCTGAGACTTTGTGAATGAAGTTCAGTATTATCCTATCCACATAGACATTTTTCAAACTCTATTTTATATACCAGGGGTTGTCAACCCCTGGTCCACGGCCCTGTGCTGGTCCATGGGCTTCCTTTAACTGGGCTGCAGACATGGACGCATGCACACACGGGTGGCATGTCGCTCCTGTGCACATGCACGCGAGCACAACATGGCCACCCACAAGTGTGACATGCCCACCCACTCTCAAAATCTGCCTGGCTTCTAATTTCAGCCCAACCTGGAGTGGGAGCAGCAGTGGCCAGTGGCACCTACTTGGTCAGTGTGGGGCTTCCTCCCCACCTTGTAGGGGCTCGGTCCCACCTGCCCCCTGAAGCGCCCACGTGTCCAGAAGGGGAGCCTTCTCCCTGCCCGGCAGTCTTCTCCCTCAGGGGTTTGGCACCACCGGGGTGTCTGCTTTTAGGTCCCTATCTGCCATCCATCAAATTGTCAAGAACTAAGACATACAATGGATGGGACTATACCATATTCACCCCTCATCCCAGCAAGTGAAACACTAGATCCTGGTTGCTGTGATGCTGGGTGCAGTAGGACCCCATGTGCTTTTTGGGAGCTCACTGAAACTCACCTTCTCTTCCACACTACCTGATAGTTTGACCTATTTAAATATGACTCGAACCTAGAATAGCCCTCAGAATCCCATGGGTAAAAAGTGTGGGATAGGCAAAAATACGTCCGCCCACCTTTTATATGTGTATCAGGTGAGACGGACCCAAAATTCCTATCCGACCCCGAAGCAACCACTTCAGCCACACTGGACCTAACCCTGAAGCAACCACTTCAGCCACACTGGACCTAGGGTGGGCAGGTTAACTCGAAGGAAAAAGGGCTAGGTGGAGGTGGAGGCAGAAGGATCTTATAATTGCACCAACATCCAGCCCCAGCACAGTCTTGGAACACAAATGCAAAAAATAAACCAAAATTAATTTTCATCTCTTACCTTCTCAGTGTCTTTACCTGAGTAAGGAGGGAAGGCAGTTAAAATGGAAAAAAATAAACACAAATTGGTTTTGATTCCTTACCTGGTCAATGTTTTCACCTGCTTAAGAAGGGAAGGTAGTAAAAATGGAAAAAATAAACCAAAATTAGGTTTGTTCTCCTACCTGGTCAGTGTCTTGGCCTGTATGAGAAGGGTAGTAAAAAATAAATAAATCTAAATTGAGTTTTGATCCCTTACCCGGTCAGTGCCTAACCATAAGATATGTTGTTTTACCTAGAAGATAGTTATGTGATATGTATTAACATTTATAAACCACTATCTCTTTACATTTTGAGCAAGTAATTAACACTATGAATATGGAAATAAATAGAAGAGAAATCAACCCAGAAAGACAACTATTAAGCTGAACAAGTCAATAGATCCTGGCATATTAACATATTAAATGGGTAAATATTTCAGACACAATAATATTTGGAACCCTTCAGACTCGGAAACAATATGTAAAGTGATCTGTTGTTCATTTCTAAACAAAAACTTTTTTTCTAATTGTGGTTACTAAGGAAGGAGATTAACCGAATACAATCTAATGAATGCTAGGGATGAAATACACAGATTAATCATGCAGAGTGGGCAAATGTTTCAGAAATGAAACATTTCTGT